CAGCAGGTTCATCCCTACTGCACCAGGGCAGTCTCTCTTCCTCTCCCAATTCAGCACCATCAGTGTTTGTCAGCCTGAGTCCTCAGCCAGGGCTGCTCCTAGTTGGATGCTTTAAGGATGCTGCAATGTAGGTGCCTCTCTCACTTCTATAAATCCCCATCCGTAGGTGGCTGGCACAACCTATAGAGTCTTTAAGGCAGATGAAGAGCATGTATTAAATATCATAAGGATAACATGAAGTTACTGGCATAGCATATGAAAATCAACTTCTTTATCTTTCTGGAACTTTAGAGGTAATCAGATACCAAGAATGAAACTATTTTTAATAACTGTAAATGTAGAAGTACCACTAGTGATTTATTAAAGTAATGCCAACCATTTTTTAAACACTATTTGAGATTTCCATAAATTCCTTTTAACTTCGGCTCAATTTGGGTCTTCAAGAGTCCATTTTCTCTTTTTCTACTTCTTTTGTTTGAAACACAGTTCAGTATTTTTCCTGAACTAAAGGGCTGACTCTCATACAGGTTGGGATACCAAACAGATAAGTTTGTTGACATAGTTGAACCATCTTAAAAATTAGTGATCATGTTTTCAGAGAAATATTTTGAATCACAAGTTTAGGGAATTGAGATCAGTGGTCAAACCCAAGTGTACCTTGACTGTTTGTAGTAGCTTTTCCTTGGATTTTTCTACTTTACATTTTAATAAACTCAAGTCTTCTATAACTTCTCTTTCAAAACTACTATTACATACTTTGACAAATCTCAATGCTAGGAAATACAATCCTGAGAATTAACATTAATTCACCAGATCTCCTTTTATCTCCACTTAGTTTTATTTCACATGATGATGCTGGAACACTGTAGCAGCACATGTATCTGAGCTTTATTGCCCTGAAATAAATCAAGTAAACAGTCCTGGAATTTGTCATTGTGATTTAGAGTGTATAAAAAATAACAGAAATGTATCATACTATGATTTGTTTGTAAAGATATTTATTTTTGAACACAGCATGTTGTTACGGTTGTAAAAATGGAACCAAAGTAGCCATGCTGCTGACATGCTGATGTGTGACATGGCACCAGAGCCAATACAGACGATTATTTTATTCCTTTTTGAACCAACAATTGCAATCCAACAGAAGGATAAGGTTCTAAATGCAAAATACTGTTCTTTTTAAGGTTTGTGATAAAATACATAATATGTAATAACTTACCGAGGAGCACACTGTGGCATTTGGTCCATCACTTTCAGATTCTTGGCAGATATTTCAACTCTTGGTCCCTAAGGAAACAGAGAATTTATGATACTGACAGTATCAATAAAACATCTGATCCTTAGGGGAAAATATTATAATGGGAGTATGGTTTCTATCTAAGCATCCATTAACTACTTTCAGAAGATTTGGAATCCATTGGGTGGATACATTAGTCATCTGTGTTTACTTAAAAGATGGAATTAGTCCCACAGCACTTCACAAGCACTGCTGCTAGCACTAGGGAACTTCTACTGTTTAACACTATGATTGAGACTTCATATACAAAAATAGTCTTAAATATTCTGGACAGTCTCTACTTTCTAACCATCAAGGCATACACTTTCAATAATGAGCACTGAGTGCTGTATTTTAATTGCTGTACTGGCTCTCCATGCAAAAGTCAGTTTTTTTCCTGTCCAACACGTGTAGCTGTTCATGTATTAAAAGAAGTTTGGCTAGATGGGACTGTAGTGCATACAATACAGTGCACATCAAAACAAACTGGTGTTTGTACCATGCTGTTTTATGTAATGAAACTGATAGCAGGCAGCAGACAGACAGCCAAATACTCACTTGCTTTCGCATGATGTCTGTAGCTTGCATGATGCACTTGGGCAGAAGTCCATGACTTCGAGCCAGAATGGCTGCTTGCTCCAGGGAGACACTCAGTGTACTTCTGTACATGGGAACAGGAGATACTCAACCACAGGTCACATTTAAAAGTACATAAATAGGTACATGAGGACACTTATCTGTTAGGTATGACTTGTGTCTGCTAGAGTTCTTGCGTTTATTTTTTAGGTTTTTTACTTATAAAACTATAAAATTACCTCAGTCCTGCATTTCGAGTCTTGTTACACCTAGATACTGCAAGTGATTGAGTCTCCAGCATCATTAATGTCAACCTGTGTTTCACTGCTCTTCTGCAAGGATTCATGTAATTCACAAACTAGTCTTTTCTTGCCTCAATGATTCTGAGACACTGGAAGAACACTGGTGTGTTTAGAATTAATGTCTGCCCACACCAAGATTCTAAAGCTGTTTGCGAGCAACCTCCTACATTTTCAGTGTGTGATTGAAGACAACACTGACTCAAAATTCTACGCAATGAGATCACTGAGTAGGTGGCACTGGCTGATGGACTCACACGTGAACAAGTTCTTGTATCAATACTAATTATTAACTCAAGTATTAAAATTTACAACCTACTCTAAAATAATGATGGCAATAGATTTAGGTCCTTTATTATATTCCCTTGGAATCTCCCTTTCTGTTGCTTTGAACAGAATATATTGCTCCAGCCTCTAGAAAAGACAAAAGTTCTCATCACTCCAGTAATCTGCAGGTTTCTTAGATCTCACCTCTGCATCCCAGTGCCACACATAGTAATCTGACAGGCTCCAAGTCGGTAACAGAGCTCAGAGGATATGGGCAGCAGGCCAGCTCCTGATGGGTTGCTGCTGGAACATCCTGACTGTGTTGGTTTGGGATGAATGAAAGACTTCATCAGCCTACACAGCTCATCCATTGCATTAATGGGGCGAATCAGCTAAACAAAGCAAGTAAAAAAAAGCATCAGTGGCCTACTGACACCTTCAGTTACAGACATTTACAATTCTTTATCCTATGGCTAAGCACAACTATTTAGAATATTCATGAACTTTGGAAGTGGAAAAATACAAATAACTAATTAGGCTTGGGGCAATTTTTTTTGCAATTCTTACAGATCACAGACTTTTTTTAGTGTTTGTTATGATTTAGAAAATAAGCTCCTGGTTTCATCTTCCTGGCAGCAGTATTTAATGCCTTAATGTGCATGTCCACATATGCCACCTGCCCTTGGTTAAACAGACTGCCTTTACATGAGATGCTGGGAAGTACAGTTTTCCTGTTGCTTCCTTCTATAACTGTGAACAAAGCATAACTTGTAAATTTAATGTTTGTTCATTTTCATGCATCTGTGGGAGAAGAAAATTAATTCTATCTAACATCAGCTACCACATTGAGCAGGGGCAGTCGGGGTGACATGGTGCCTTATTTGTGCCTAAGGTAAGGGTTTTGAGTTTACCCCACCTCTGCACTTTTTCTCCTCAAAAAAAGAACTGTAGCCAAGCTTCAGAGAAATTCCAATAACTTTTTTAGGGTAGGGAACATTTTAAAAATACTGTTTGGGTTGTTGTCATATGGCCAACCTACAACTGGGATTTTAGAGAAGTAGAAATAATATTTCTGTGAGATAATTTATTGTGGAATGAACACAATACCTGGTCAATCTTTACTGCAGTAGTATTGGAATCAGTGGGCAAGTTTGATCTCTCTAGGTAAAATGTCCTGCAAAAAGGTCAGCAAGAACTACATTAATTGGTGTGTCTCATTTCAAGCACATGTCTACTAGCTTTTATGCAACACCTGAGGAGGCTATGCTAAATATCTTGGACTCCAAGCTCTGTTTTCTTATCAAACCATTTTGATTGCAGTAACTGACAGAGTCTGTACTAAAACATTCTAAATCCCTCTTTTTATGCAGTTTTAGCTCTGCACAAAATTTCAAAGTCAAATTAGGTGGGAATTCCATCCTCTACAGTGCACAACTGCAGAATGAGCTTAACTATGGGAAGAAAATTAACAAGTTTCCCACACAACAAGGATCTCCAAAATTCGTATTTGTACAAGAAACCAATCAGAAATGGAATCTCTTTTTCATTAAATTTTCATGTTCTTAGCAAGGAGCACTCTTTTCAATGTCTTTTAAGGCAAAGGAGAAGCAAGAAATACCTGAGTTTACGGTAGTATTGCTGCACTTTTTCAAGTGAAATACCATTAATTTGCTGTGGAAGTTCTTCTAGAGATGAGCTGGCTGGTTGTGGTTGCCCCTCTATACTCTCCAGAGCTGAAGAAGAAAACAGTTTACTAAACCTATGTTACTAATTTTCTGTTTATTTATTTATTTATCTCTGTATCACCTCACTTCTCAGCCAACAGCTGCTGGATCGTGTCAAGGCTGATTTTGTTACTGCATAAATTTAATGCATTTCCCAATATGAGAATACAGTGCTAGTACCATAAAGGTGAGCTTCACAGAAAGCAGTTCTATCTAACAGCAATTACTCTCCAATAATATCCCCTTGAAGGAAATATCCTGTGTTGTATTTTGGTGTGAATACTTGCTTATCAAGTCATTCTGTTAAAGTCTATGCTTTTAAAAACACTTCTCTGTAACCTGGGCACATCTCCTGATCCCATACTAGATCAGATTTTCCATGTAGTCCAATACAATATCTCTATGGCCTTCCCAGGAAGGCATAAAAAAGCCCCCAAGATGTATGTCTGGTTCCCATGAGTGTGTCTTATTCTAAAATCCAGCACCCCCTAGTCACAGAAACAGAAACATCTGCTTCTTAAATGTCTGTAGTTGGGTTCTCAGCTGCATTATATTAAGAGTTTCATGGTCATTCTTTATTTTGAATCTTTCAACATCATCAGTTAGCTTGTTTTTCCTCAAGAAAGCTTTTTATAGACACCTTTTGTGAAGAGCACCGTGTGCAGTTTCAAGCTTCCCCCATTCTGAAACCGAGAAGGCAGTTTGGAGAAGTAGTAGCTGTCAAGATAAAAGATAACCTTCAGGGCCTGGCGACTTCCTTCAATGTGGTAGAAGACATGAGTATCTGGAGAAATAAAGATAAAATACTGGCTGCTTTACCACAGCAGGAGAAATGCAAAACCATTGCTGAGTTTGTTACCTAATGATATTTCACGTCTGAAATGCTATACTTGAAAAGACATACAGTTAGCATAACCTAGCATGATGTTTGATGCCAATACAATAAACACATTTAATAATTGAAATTTCATGGCACGTCATAGTAAACATGGAGGGAGATCTGGCAGGGAGGGACACAGGACACAGAGGAGCTGGGAGGAACAGTTCTTCTACCTTAGGTAATGTGGTGAATTACAAACATCTGTCAGGAACTGCTCCTCATCTGTCATATCTCCCTGTGTATGAAATCACACAGGTCAGGTACACTGGCACAGACCAGAGTTACAAACCACAGGACAGGCCACCAGCATCCCACCATGTCAGATGCTTTTTATACTGTGTGTTTGCTGTGGAAGCTGAGGGAATGAAACAGCACTTCAGAGAAGCTGCTCAGTGCTCCCCAGGTCTGACATGGTCGGTTAGATTTATAATCACGGAGAATATTAACCCATAAAACAGAAAAGAAAAAAAAGAACTTCAAAGAACCAGAGAATACTCACTTGCTACAAGACTTTCATCCAGCTGCTTGAAGTAGAAGGCAACTTTGTCCAGTTCAGTCAGAGTGACCTGGATGTCTTCCAGCATGGTACGCTCCTCCTTCTGTAGAGCAAAGAAACAGATATAAAGAGATTATAATCTGCCAGAAAGAGATTAATGGCAGGAGGGTATGATTATTATGGTTATCCTTCAGTTCAGGAGACACAGAGCAGAAAGTGGAGCTTTCAATTAACTCCATCCCAGCCAAGTAATTACTAATGGCTCTCTAACTTTGTGATCCAAGCTTAGCTTTGCTTAGATGTCATCTGATGTGATTCACAGACTGAAGAAGTTTGAAGGGATGCCCTTCATCCAACTTTATACCTACAAATGTGAAGAATAGCCTATCAATTACTGCAAAACAAATGTCCATATGTTCCATGGAATGTGAAGGAACAGCAGTAACATATGCATATAGTTGGGATTGTATTTAAAAAAAACCCCACTCAATCTGAAGTGTTTACAAAGTCCCAAAAAACATTGCTCCTCTATGCTGTCAGAGCTACTTGTCTTTTTTATTAACATTTTTACACTTACGTAGCTTATCTACTGTAAGTTATCTGTTCATTAGGTGCAGACCAGCTTCTCTCCTCCTCCGACATGGTGCCTCAGCACCACGGAAGTGAGAAAGACATTGTAGTCTATCTAGTCTATAAAAGTATCCAGCGTATGAACAAAAGCCTGCATTTCCATATTGTCCGAATTCTTGAAATACTCAGAACTTTTCTCCCTATTTGTTGAGATGTGTTTTCACCAGGAGGTGGCAGCCTGCACACGCGTCACCGACAGCTGAGCAGCGGGTGCAGCAGCGCTACTCCAGACAGGAAGGCAGACAGATTCCTGTGGTGTTCCAGTGTAACAGTGGGTCCAGTATTTGTGAGGAGATGAAAATGATGGGATATGTAGTATTGGCAGACGGTTGTCAGCAGTGAAAATCTCCAGGGGCTGCTGTAGTAAGAGTTTAAACTGCTACACTGCTGCTAGAATGAAGGGCTCTGGCTGTGCTGTGAGTGGCAGAGAAGCATACAAGCAAGTGTGAACAGACCCAAGGGTGCCACAAGTCTTCATCTTACCACAGTGGGGGAGAGAAGAGACTGGTAGTTCAGTAAAACACCAGTGGCTGCAATCTGTTCCAGCCATTTTCTGCTGGCGTCTCTGCTGCTCTCTTCGTATTCCCCGTTGTTGTTGTATCTATAGTTGAGAGCAGCCAGTAACTGCTCTGAAAAGGTGCAAATAGCAGCCACGAGGGACTGACAGAAGATGGAATCACGTCTCAGCTGTAGCTCAGTATCTGCCAGAGAAGAAGAGAAGCACAAAGAAGTTATGAGTACACTTGTCTTTAATCTCGCTGCCAAAGGAACAGTTCGCGTGTGTGTGGATGGCATTTGGCTTCTGCTGGAGCTTTGCAGACTTAACAGATAACCTCTTCTTTTGCGTGACCTGGCTGTACAGATAAAGACAGCAGAGATGGACCACATGCATGTTGGAAAATCATCTAGTCCACTTCGCTATTTATTACCACCTCTGCCATCTACATGCTCATTCTTCTGACTGGAAGAGCTGGAATGCCTTAGTGCCATATCTGAACAGACTCCCTTCTTTTTATGTTTACAGAAGCAAGAGAATTCTTGAAAGAAGGTCTCTGCCATTACTTCTCTCCTGGGCTATTAGAGATTCATCTTCCTCCATCCATCTGCATTTTGTGGGCTTTCCATATGCTTAATGCATTAACTGGGCCTGCCCATCCAGTACCAATTGGTTTATGTTTCCTGGGAGAATCTCCCTTGTGTTAACTTACTTTGCTTCCAATCTGCCTGCCAGGCAGCCACATGCTGGTCAAATCAACCTCGTCACACTTAAGGGGATTGCAGGCCAAAGAGGCATATGAATAAGTGAAAAGCTCCTTCCCTGGCACCCTGGGCTCCTCCAGCAGGCACTGCAATACAGCAGTCCCTCATTGTCAAGGCAGCATCCCCCAAAGAAGGAAGCTGAAGACATCACCCAGAGGCTTTGAAGATCTGGATTATTTTTATAAAGCACTGAACACAACAGACTGACTAATGTACTCCAGGCCCTAGGCCATATTGTGAACAGAAGGGCAACCAGTCCTCTTGGACTGGTACACCTCTGCACTGCTGGAAGCAAGGCCAGGAGAGCTAGGACTGCCCTCAGGGTAACGGTCTCCCTGGTGCCATAAAGCTGCCATAGCCAGTCCAGTGCTGTCTGCTCCTTCGCTCTTTCCAGAGAATGTTCATAGAAGTGCTGCAGGAGAGGGCACAGATAGAGCCTTTGGGAGTCATCACCTCTGCTATCAGTAAAAACAGCCTTTAGGGACACTAGACTGATGCCACATGCTGCTTGGGACAGAATCATGGACTAGCCCTGGCGGGAGTGGAGATGTGACTTAGAGCCACACAAGCCTCTCATCTTCCTTCTATGAAAACTTAATAATCAAGCCTGGCACAGTGAAGCAATCACAGCCTATTTCTGTTATCTGTTACCTCATTTCCAAACCAAAGTACACAAAATAGGTGTTTCAATTACAAAAAGACTGCACATTCACTCCTGGGAAAGGCCTGTCCCTTGATCTGCAGGCACAATGTTTTGTGCATGGTAACAGATTAATGATGTCCACAGTGTGTTTATGTGCTGCCTGCACATCTAAGTTCATGATCTGCTCCTGGCTACAACTTCAGTATGCACAGTCCTAACTCCTACATGCCTGCTCTGTTTGGAAAGATGACAGAGTCCATGGTCTCACAGAAGGTTGTGCAATAGGTTTCATTTTTGCTGCATGTTCTCACCACAGCAGAAAACTGTAAGGCCATCTGGAAGGAGGATTGTACAAAGGGAAAAATAAAGACAGTATAAAGAAAAACAGTGCTTGTGAAACATCAATGACCAGCCAGGTAGCACAAGCAACCTATGGTGAACTGAAATAATGTAAACTGAAGAACAGATGTCAGGTGCATGGGAAAGTTGCCCTAGATGCAAAGCATGAGAAATGTTAGCATAAAATGCCAGGGAAAACCTAAATGCTAAGGAAAAAGATAACATTCTGAAGTATGCAGATAAAACTGTGTTAGGGACTTCTGTATATGTGATGTTGTATTGCAACAAAGCAAACCCCTTACCTGTGCATTTTAACAATGCCAAAAGCAGCTGATTCTTCCCATCTAAAACAGTGAAGAAAAGGAATGTTGCAGTCAACATGATACCAAGGTAGATTTGATTGCATTTTGTTAACAGTGTCCTCATTTCCCACAATCCCTGCCCCCTGCATGGCCATTTCTGGTTACTCTAGTAGTCCTTACTTGCACAGATGTGTTAATGACTGAAAAAGAAACAAGGTGTAAATCAAATAATTTTACAGGATAAATACTCTGTTAGCTACCATGAACTATTGGAAACAAATTGCAGGTGCAGATGAATCTCTAAGGAGGTGATTTCCATCTAAATAAACCTCAGGGAAACAGATGAGTCTGATACCATTCTGTTTGAAAGGGCTGATGAAATAAAATTAGGAAAATTTCTTTGGAATTGCTGCACAGGTGAGATTTTACCATCCAGCAGTGGGGCTCTGCAAGCAGTAACCTGTTCTACCTGTTCTTCTGCAGAGCTTAGTACAGCCTTATTACAAATTGAGATAAAATGATAAAACGAACTCCTATGACTTGATTAGATCAAAATCTTTGCTCCCTGAACCTGATAACAAACTTTTCCTTATTTACAGACCTTCCACATGTTTTTGTATGATTTCAACAAGGTTCTTGATGCGCAACGGAAGGTTCCATGGATCTTCTTGAATGCTGGCTTGAATATTATTCCGGCACCTAACTGTGGATTCTTCCTTCTGTTTGAATTCTAGAAAAAATGGAGTTTGTTACTCATTAAGGAAGTGCTACGTAGCTGAGTGGCTTATGAGCTATAATGTGTATACAGATGAAAGCAGAGATACAGCATCCATAGCAACAACTGTCAGTGAAAAAGTTTCTTTAATAGATCTAGTACAGAAGAAAAAAAAAAAGGCTATGCCTATAATCCCATGATCATCAGCTTCCTAGCATTGTTTTCAGGGTTGTGGACTAAAAGTTATGTACATGGGTGAGATACACAATGAAGGGAGCTCTGCACTGCTCACAAAGCAGAGAATTCCCTCGTTTTCCCTGCCTTTAATAGCATGCAGGCAGCTCTACTGGGTTGATCTAGAGCCTGCCTGTGCAGAATCAGGTCAACTTTTTGGCTGCAGCTGTCACATCCCATAATAGTGAGGAGAAATTATGAAATATTCTGCTTTCTTTCACCTGATGGAAGCTAATTATTTAATTACAGAGTAGAAGATTTATTCTCCATGCCTTAGCTGTACAGCTAAGCCAAATACTCCATTGTTGGTGATAAAATGCATAAGCAGAGAAACACAGAAAAACTGAGCCAAAGAACTGCTCATGAACAGAAACAGGAGAGCATTCAAGTTTACATCCATCACTGAGAGGTGTCTATGGTAGCTATTAAAGAGACACTTTGGTCCAAGATTCCAGCTGAATGTAAGCAGGGCTTGTCTGTTCTTTTGTGTGATGAATGTGGGATCATCAGTTAACTGCACTTAACCAAAAGACTCCCACTGTAATTAATCTTGGTTTCATACATGAGACTCTTTTTAGGCAAAATAAAATAAAGGAAGTGAAAACAGGGTGTCTGTTATTTCTTCACTTCATTCAAACAGTGCATGGAAAGACTAACAGATATTCTACATAAATGTGTTTGTAGAGATAAGTTCATGTAACAGAACTTCACAGGAATTTCTGGAATCAGGAAGAAAAACAGAAAAAAAAATTCCTCTAGAATTCACCGCTGTGACTTAAAACCAGAACTTGTCAAAGATTGGAGCATGACTACAGCACCTGAAGTACAGTAGGAATAGTAGGAAACATTTGAGGTTTCAAGTGGGAAGGGAAATGCAGTAAATGTTAAGAAAATAAAGTCCTGTGTATTTCAGTGAGAGAAGAAACCACACCCTGGGCCTCAAAACCATTAAGACCAAAGTCTCATCAGGCTCCCTGAGGAAAAAGAAACCACAGTATCATTTGTTTGCTCTCTATGGGAATCAAAGTAAATGTCATGTGAGGATGAGTTTACTCTGGCAATTATCCATCTGAAGAAAAGCAGAATAAGTCATCAGGCAAACTAGGGCAGAAGCTTTTGGTGCCTCAGAACTACAGTGGTCAGCCCCTCAGCAGCTTATCAAAGTGCCCATTTACCTTGGATATGACCTATCTCTACCTTGGACCTTTTGATGGGAACCTGTGTTCCCATTAAAGAATAGACTTGGAGACTTGTGAAAGAGCTGTGAGGATTCAGCAGCGCCTAACAGAAAAGTGTTCTGTGTGTTTTAGAAGGAATTGACAGGAAAATGTTCTTTGAAGGATGCAAAGTTTCAGTGGTCAGACACAGTCCCTGCCGTTAATATCTGACTGACTGGGTAGACTCCACAGTTCAGTAACTCTGTGTGGCACATGTGCATTCATGTTAAGCTCTTAAATCCTAGCAAATCACATTATTAAATACAATGTACCTTTTTCTTTACCTTGTAAACTGTGGTCCATTGGAAAGTGCTTGGTTTCTTCGAAGGCCTTAGTTATTACTGGTCCTTTTAGAAGTGCATTGATTGCATCAACCTACAGTTGGAATGTTTTCAGTCAGTGCTAGTAAGACTTGCAGGGGAAAATATGAACAGAACTCTTGTGGGAAAAATGCAGAAGCCATTACACTATTTGCACTTTGGAATGATTTCTTGTTGACAAAAAGCATGAAGACTTTCTAACCATAGACTGGCCTCAAAAGCCTCTCACACTGAACACAGCATTTTGCACGGTGATTATCTACATTCTGATGAGAAAAAAGAGAATAGAAAACAATTCTGTACATCCATAAAGGCATCTGTTGGCTGAACTTGGGAGGACTCTCCTGAGATCTGTAAATGTGATCCATTTAGACCATACAAGGTATAAGAATTCTTCTCCTTTTTTTCATGAACATTTTTTTCCCTTCAGTCTAACAGCTGAGATAAGGCAGGTCAACCTTGCTTAAATCACTCAAGGCAACTTGAATGTTGACAAAATTGATTCCTCACACTGTCCTATAATAATCAACTTGCTTACACTGTAAACCAAAATTTTGGTAGTTTGCCTTCCCTCAAAATATGTGTCATTAGACAATTTGAGACATCCAATTTCCTGATACAGAGAAAACAATTATGTATAAGAGCAATGCTTTGCATACCTGGTTAAAGAGATGTTCCAGGCAGCCATGAAGTTTGTCTTGCTTGTCTAAAGGAATCCTCATATCATTGGGAAGCTCATCTCCTAATAAAGGAAAAATGAAAAGCTTTTAACTGTCTTAAGAAGTAACCTGTGCTGAGGCCACAGATGACACAAGCACACCTTCACACTGGGGTGGGTGAAAAATGATCTCTAATTCATAGACGAAAATACTCATGATTTTTCATATAATGCAAACACCCCCTAAAGAAGCTTATCCCTGCCTGACACCTCTTCCATATTCCAAACCTACTATGATTTTTTAGAAAAAGAACAAATCTTTTTGGTCTTGTGATTAGTTTTGAAGCAACCACATTTTCAACTTCAACATGCAAGTGCTTATAATCAGGACAGACTTATCAGCTCTGCTGAGTAGTCAGGTATGAGAAACATGCCTGGAACTGGTGCAAACACTCACCTGAGCCCATCTCATCACTGCCCAGGTAAGAGCTGTTACTGCGCACACTGGTGTATGACAGCACCGAGTCCCGGTTGCTGTTACATTCACTAGAAAGAAAGCAAAGAAGGTGACTGAAGGTGTCCTACACCCAGACTCTGATATGCTGCCACTCTGTTTTTAGTAACACTGCAACCCCCAAAACTAATTCTGCTATGCATGTATGAAAAAAAAACTAATGACATGCAAAACAACCATTAAGCAAGGCCTCTGGGGCTGGCACTTCCATTTGCAGCACCAACTCAATGCTTAATGTATTGCCTGGATCCTATAAATAATGAAAATGGTCTTCCCACCATGGGCCTCATCTGGTTTGCATCAATAAACATGCTCTATGAGCATCGACTAGGGGAGAAATTATTAAAATGTATGAGGCTGAATTGCCACTAAATTCAACATTTGTTACCAATTCTCAGGATATCACAGCATCCAACTGTAGCATATATTGAAGCTGCAGCAGCAGAGATACTGGAGATGGAAGAGGAAATCTAAGGCATCTCTACCACTGAAGAATCAGGCACTGCAGATCCTAAAACTATCTCAGGAAGCAGAGGAGTCACTACAGTTGGCTTCATACCAAAGCCAGCTCATGCACACCTGGAAAATTCTGGTATTAATATCTTCTGTTTACAGTTCACCTTATACTAACTGTAACTTAATAAAGCAATGAAAACATCTGCTGAGATTCTGTTATTTCCAGCTATATGATATAGAAAGGGGAAGTAATTTATTTAATTTTGTTAAACTTTGGCATTTTGACATTGTTATGAGAAAATATTTTTTATGTGAATGTCTCCATGGTAATAAAAGTAATGAAATAACTGCAGGTAGTCAATACTTTACTAAGTGAATACAGAATAATTGACTGACTAGAAAATAACCTGCTTGATGAATCCATGCCTGGATTAGAACTTTGAAGTAAGGTAAAAGTGGCACAATCTTCAGACTAACCTGTAGGAATCTCTGAAACTCATTGTGTCATGTCCAGAGTCTTCCTGGTCCTCCTCAGAAACTTTGAAACAGACCTTCTTGATTCCACCATGCTCAGCTTTCTCAGGATCACTCTCTTCTGTTCCCAGAGATGTCTCCTCAGTGGATGGTGGCTCACAGGCACCACCTTCTGTGGGTTCTGTTATGGTGGACAGAAGTCTGCAAAAACAAAATGTACAGCTCTCAGGGACTGGTGGGTAGCCTCACAAATGAGGTACAATGACTAAGGCTGGAATTCAGCTATGAGAAATCAAAAGCAACCTTGCCAGTGTTTAACACAGACTGCAGCTACGTAAAACTGAGAGCTCTGCAAAGGGTTCATTGAAATCCATGAAGCTCAGTTCACAAAAGGTCCTGTTTCTATAGGTACCCTGCCTTCATGAGGTACAGCCTAATCATTGCAACCATGGTGACCTGAAAGGGAGTTCTTAGGGTACAACAGCTGGGGGACACAGGCAGCCTGTTCTCTCTGAGGTTAATACTTCCATTTGGTCAGAATTGCTTTCTGCAGTGCAGGCAGGATCTTTACTCACTTATTTATCTGAATGACATACTGCTTCATTTCCTTCACTGCAATGTCAAGTTTGTTAAAAAGGTGCACGTAGGAATCCTGTATCTCCCGATCTTCCTGTTTCAGCAGAAAACTGAGTCCCCTTTCTTCCTGAATTGTTCCTCCATTCTGCTGGCTAAAGCTGCCATCAAGATCTCCATCTTCTGGGGTCAGACATCTCCAGGATGGTGCAGCCATAGTGGTGATGCAATGTTGTGTATACGAGACTGGATTTAAGGTACCTGATAAACATTGAAGGGTCTAGTTAATATGGCTGTTGTGATCTTCCCCACTCCATCCCAATAATGACAGTTTAGGATAGATGCAATTATAACAGAAAAAATGAAATTTCACAGAAGTATTTTATATAATTACATTATATGGCAAAAACATTCTTATAAAGAAAATAAAGGTTTGTTTTTGGGTTTTTTTTCCTGGCATGCCAAACAGATGCTTTGAATTTACCGTAGTGCTGAAACAGGTTAAATTATGGAAGTACAGACAGCAACTGTCCACACATATACAGACAACACAGACAGTACCTAAAAGCATTTCTTGAAATTTTGATAAATCCAGGATCTCAGGAGTTGGTCTGTGTGATTATTCAATTTTTAACAATATTTATGCACATAGAGATATTTATAAATAAATGAGATTATGTCCTTACAAAAGATAAATAGAATTCATTTTCATTTAGAAATGCTGACAGTTTTGTTATAGTACTTTGCTAACCACCTTAGCTTGCATTAAAAATACTATGGAGTTTTAATATCTTCAAGCAAGCAGGGCTTCGTTATCAACCGCATTTTGGAGAGCCAATGTCATTCTTCAGCAGACTGGTCAATCTTCCCTGTTAAAACAATTCCTGCACACTGACCTGTGCAGGACACTGACACTGACAAGGCAATGTATTAGAAGCATATTAGGTGAGATCATGATGAAGAAATGCTCGAACTCAAGTAATCAGGTTGTAAGGTAAATGCTGTGCAGCAACTATTTTAGCAGAAAATAGATCCCCTTGACAGAGACTTTCAGCTCCAACGCATGGAATTTATGTAATAATGAGAAAAGAAAACAGCACCACAATCTCTTCACAGTACTAGCACTACTCTTAGACCATATTCACTTTTAAGTCAGTAAGTCACCTCTACTAAGTGCACACTATACTTCAGGACACTTCACTGTCATGAGATGAACACACTGCTCAGCTACTGAAAACCTGAAACCTCTCTATGCTGAAAGGAATTACTGTGTTACAACACAAGGAGGCTGTCATCCTACTAGAAAACCTTAAAAGGACAAAAGGTTACCAGCAAGACTTTCTTTCAAACTTATTTTTACCTTGCTGAGGAGTGGAAAGACAACTTTTAATGCAGATAAAATCAGTATGATTTGGAAGTGAATTATCACCTTGTTCTGGATCAAGACCAATAATAGAGGGTTTTCGTCCAATGCGAATGCTGAACGACCTCCCTGCTGAGGTAGTGTTTTTGGGATATGAGACCTCCATGAGGTTAACATGGCAGTTGGTAGGGCAGAAATCCATGCTGTTGAGGGAATGTGGTTCCATGATGGCTTGTTTGAAGGCTGGGCTCACCTTTGTTTTCAATTCATCTGCAAACTGCGAGAAATAAAGCAAGTATGTGCTATTTCACTTGTAAAAAATGACAGTGCAATACAGACAATCCTTTTCCTGCCTCCTATTCCAGAATCACATGATTTCTTCTGCAACTGGAATAACACTTTTTTTAAAAAAAAGCTCATAAAACAACAACTAAATAAATAAAGCACTGATATATTATAACCCATAGCTCTGACAAGCTGAAAGGAGTGATTTTCTGATAAGGACTTTTCTCCCCAGAACTTGCAATTCCAGTAACTTGCATAGCTGTTTTCATGCCTCTGAGACACCTACCTCTAAAGGAGTTCAGAATTATTCATATAGAATACTAAGACCCAGTTATCATAGCCAAGTATTGTCTTGAGACTTCAGCAGCTGGTAGTGTTTTACCTCTTGGTAGTTTGTGAGCCTCCTGCTGATGCTTTCCAGCTTAGTGTCACAAATTTGCCGGAACTCATACTGGGGCATGGTGGCCACTGCACTGCTTAGGGATATGAGTCTTTTGCAATTCCTTACAAAGTGATTGTCCTCTGCAGCAAAGGCCTCTAAAATCTAAACAAAAAGACATGATGTCAATGATATGAGACTGGACAGTGAGGGAAAAGACAGTTTTATTCCATTAAATAAGTGGCAAAGCCCCCATCTTGTTGTAACCAAATAAAGCTGCCTCAGAACAAGTTGCCTTTATTGCCTCCTGAGAATCACTATTATGTCTCATAAAACATTCCTCAACATTTTTTACAACTGAAATGGATCAAAATATCCACTGTGGACTGTCAGAGCTCCCTGCTCTGGCATATTTTCATGGCACATAATAATGTTACTGGGATGTGACAGAGACATGTACTATTAGCTCATTACTGCTATGGATGACCAATGTCTGAAGTGCACTGCTGCCTTCCAACAGCACCGTTCCTACTTGCTTCCTTTAGTGACCCAGCCAACCTGCCAGAGGGGAAAAAAGCTGCTTGGTTTTCTTCCAAGGTAAAGAAGACTCTTGTCTCGAAAGATTAATCTTGTGTATCAGCAAAGAGTATGTTATCAGACAGATAGCAATGGAAATTCCACAGCCGAGGGCTCCCCTCCCTTTACCTCAACAGCCAAAATCCTGGAAGCATTTGCTCATACCAAATGAGCTATTATAATTTGGTGCCTTCTAGTGAAGAAAGCTCCAGGCAAGGAAGAGAAGAACATGTGCTACCTCATCCAAAGAACCAAGCCAAACTTCCAGAGAAATACCTATATTATTGCCTTCCCTGTTCTGTCTAGAAATGGAGCTGGCCATGTAAGTTTTCCTGTACCTTTGCAGTAAGATTGAAGCAACCTTTTGGTTCCACAATTTTCTCCAGGACAAAGGACTTGATTCCTGCACTGCTGACATATTCGTACACCACTCCGTGCTCCAGGTGGGTGTTATCCACAGTCAGGCTAACAAGAGGCGTTTCCTCACCAATGATCAGTGGGGAGCTGATGGTCTGTGGTGTCTGGGCTGGAACCAAAGTAAGTCATTAGAGATGTTTGGCAGCACACATGAATACAGGCATCCCTGGGGAGGAGAAACCTGTTGAGAGGTATTATTAAATGCAAAGACACAACCTTTGGCTCAAGGATTTTCTGAACCACATACAGCTATTGGCTGGGAGGATATTCTGATGAAGACATTTGCTGTTGGTCACTACTGGAGACAGAGGTTTAGACAATCTACATGCTCCACTGCACATTCTGATGTTCTTCCACGTGTGCACACACAACCCAGCACAGGATACTACTTTTAGTTCTGTTCGGCATTCAGAGACCCTAGCAGAAGCTTTCAAAGGGAAGAGAAGTATGTTAATCTCAGAGTCTTATTGTTTGTAATGACTCCCTGGAAGATTGCCACTTTTCTGTCCAATTTTGGGAAATGCTCCAGATGCACTTTCTGTACAGCTGTAAGACTGAGATGGCAGGGGAGGGGTGGGGTGAGGAGATAACATTTTTTAACACACAACAATGCTATTGTCACTAGAGAAGAAATTCAAGTCATAGTCCGATTGAGATTTGCCAAGGAATTGCTCACATGTCTGTACCAGGGCACTGCTCCAACTGTTTCACTGTGGAGTTGCATTGTTTGACCATTAGATGACCAGGCTCACCAGACCTTAGATGGGAGCCACACAAATGTGCATCTGTTCCTGCAGAAGTTGCCAATTGCATTGGGAGAGTCCAAGCTCAGTTCTGTGGACTGAATCTGGCTTCAGGTGTTCTCCTGTAACATCTAGTTTCCTGAATAAGCTCTCAACATAAAGGTAAAGAAGTGTTTTTTATGAGTAACACTTTCCTAAGTTGGAGGAAATACACCCACACCTTTTGCTGACACAGTGGTAACATGCTCTGAAAATTTGCTTCAGATCAAAGTAATTTAAAATCTTAATCTTTAATCTTAAAACCACAGAAAACATAGATTATTCTAGGTAGAGATACTTGCAGATCTTCCCTCTCCAGCTGCTACTTGACCATGAATTCCTGGTTTGCAGAGGCTACCAAATTATTCTAAAAATGCTGAGCCTTTTAATTCCAGAAACTGGCTCACTTGTAAAGATCAGGGAGTCACAGGATTATCATTTCTGAGTGTATCTCAATTTTTTCTGCTCTCCAGCATATGAGAACTTCCTCTGGCAGACCTCACCCTATTATAAAGATCCACTAAGACAAGAGATACAATAATAATTACACTTTATTTTTCTACTGCAACTTTCCTTCCTGAAGCCCCTGAATCTTCCCTAGGTTTCCTTCCCCCATAAGAATCTTCACCTGATTCCTGTTGACTGTTTGGAACAGGATCCAATTCTGCACCTCCTTCCAGTGATGAGTCTTTGCCAGAGCCGGGATGGCTGCCATTCAGGTAGGCAGTGGATGCTGCTTGCTGAACTCTGTCCTCCTCAGCATCTTCATATGTTCTGTACACCCACTGGTACAATCCCTTTCAAAAGACACAGGCTTCAGCTATGACTTCAGGAATTTACCCAATCTTTCTATGTTTGGATTACAAAGGTGAATCTAGCTATAAATTGTATATCCTCTGTTGGCTGAAATATCAACATTTCCCCAGATGTCCTCTGAACTTCAGAGAACATAAAATCTCAATCAGTCTCTGGGTGAAGTTTTACTTTTAGCAATAGTTAATAGTATTTAATACAGTATGCAGTGTGTGGATTAGCATCTATCATGTTTATTGATGTTTTGCTACTAGAGGCAACTGTCATCAGCTCCCTTAGTGATATTATGACCTTGGCATGTGAATAAATAAGTCAAAAGAGACACGTATAAATTGCTTTTTTGAATATTTAGTGAGTATAAAAGCACAGAGGAAGAGGAGGACAGAAGAAGGGCAGGAATTAATGTACTTCCTTTGAGGTTTTGTATTCATACCAGTGCTTCTTGTTGTCTGGTCCTGTAAGCTGTAAAGTGCTCCAGAACTTCCATATAATTTCCATGCATTGCATTATTCCCATTGACTTTCAAAATACACTGCCCTGGATGAAGGCCTACAGCTGCAGCCTCAGAACCTGAAAGATCAACAGGAGAGGAGTTAAATAGTAAAGCCACCTGACTAAACTGGGAAGTTTGCAAAGGGTTTCTGGTTAAGAAGAGGTAAGAAGGAAAAGTCAGTTGGATGCTGTTGTGCCTATGCTACCAAGTATTCGGAGAGCTTTGTTGTATAAGGGAAACATCATGCATCTGTCCTTCATAGTGCTGGGAAAAACAGAGACCTAGAGACCTAGGTATTAATGCTAGAAATGGAAATTCCTGTGGGAATTCCTTTGGGATTCTTATATGGCTCTTCTAGGCTTATGATTACATTAGCTGAGGTCTTGCTTAAACATAAACAGTCACATTTGTTTCAGCTTGTTGCACTTGAAAGCGACAAAACTCTTGACTGTTGTACAATTTGCCCTGGTCTAAGAGAAGACTATGATGGTCTCAAAACTATAGAAAGTCTAGAGTGCAATAACCAAGTTCACAATAACCAGATGCATATGAACAAGCTAAATCCAGCTCCTAGAAATCTACAGTTAAGGTAATTAATTTTTTTTAGGCACCATCATTTAAAATTCATACAGCTTTATTCCAAATGCAGTTTGTCTTTTGCTAGCAAAATCCTGACAAGGGAGAATCTTTCCAGCTGGCATTTCCCATTTGCCCTCTTCACACTGTTCAAAAGCAGTTACAGGTGCTGTTACAAAAGAGTGTAACAAAGGTGTCTCCTTGACAACTTTGTTGGTTGCATTTGGGTGCTGCCTGTTGTCTGCATCCTAATTGTACATATTTGGTGGTATGTACTTGGTCTGAAGGAAGGAAGTGGTCCATGTCTGAAAGGTCATATTTTCTTCATCTGCTGAAAATAAAGGTTAGAGATGTGCTCTATTTGCAGCTCAGCTCATGTTTCAGTTACGGAAGCAGTAAATACCTTTGTCAAGCTGTGTTTTCTCCTTTTAAAAGGGCCAAGTAAAGCAGTTTGCTTCTATCTTTCATTAGTCACTTATAGCAGGATAAGCCAATAAAAAGGGAGATGTAGTCTTCAAGTCTTACACCAGACCTTGTGATGTCCATTAAGAAACCTGCAGTAATCCAAACTGTGGCTGACCACAGGCAAAAATATTGAGGAAGCATCAGACAGCATTACACCTCAAACTTTTTCTCAGCCACCTCAGTTTTAAATTTTCATTCCCTGTGACTGCAAAGCTGTACTTCAGCAGTCTCAAAACAAACAAGGTTAGGATCACTATGCAAGTGCCCTTCTACCTTGCAAGAGCTTAAGTGGCAATGCCTTCTCAAGACTCTTTCCCCAGTACTGTGGATTGCAGTATCACCAAGTTTCTTCTGTTGTACAATTAAGTTTTTCCTTGTTCTGGGTTGATAGGATTCATGAGCCAACATTCATTTCATAATAAAGATGCCATTTTCTTAGACTGTATTTAGATTAGAAGCACTTTGAGGCAGGAAGTATCTTGTTCTGTGGTTTTGTATGAGTGTGATCCTTCTCTGTGCCAGGCATTCCTTGTTTTAAACAAGATGGACAGTGAAACTTGGAGTTATATATAAACACACACTTTATATACACATTTATAGATATTTAGCTATCTAATCTTAACTATTCCACAGCCTTTCTACTTACCTCTTCCTACTGCATGAACATATGGTGGTGCTGTTCCCCGTATCTGAAAGCAAAGTGCTTCAGGACAATCTGGGATTTTAATAATCCTGAAGGTAAATCAAGGAGAAGACAAAGAAGCATTTTAAGTTAGGCTGCCAGAGCTCTGGGCAGTTCTATCAGCTTTCTTTCCCAGCATTCACAACCATGTTTTGGATTAAAGAAAACACTCACATAAGTTTACAAATAAACAACAAACAAATAGGCCTGAAGAAATCATCCCTTCCATCCTCATTCTCTCAGCAGATGGAAGATTCACTTTGTTAATTAAAATTTGGCACTACTGAATTTATTACATTGTTAAGTGAACAACACAGGAGAGAAGCTTTCGAGATGGTATTTATACTAACTTCCATTTCTAGGCAAACTTCAGTGCAGCTGTGCTGACAGATACCAGCTGAGGATCTTTTGCATTACAGAAATAAAAATAGACTGGACAAGATATCCTGGAGTAGAGTTTAGCATCAAGTGCTCATTGAAATGTTCAAATCTATGGCAAATTCTGGGATTACAGCATTTAATAATTCACAAGACATTAACAGGGCTAAGCCTCATTATAAAATACGATAATGGCCTGAAAAAAATGTAAGGGCTGACATCATTAGAGTCATCCAAAAATAAGCCAAGCTTTAATAGGGTGGAAATTGCTTTCCCTTAGACATATATATTAGAGTCTGAGAAGCTTCAAACCTGTGACAGAATGACAATCCTTGTGATTCAATTCTGTTTGTGCACAGGGAGCCAAAAGTTAATTGCAGTATAAAGAGAATCCATCCTTACTTGTTCTAGAGGTACAAGGTTCATCACTAAAACTAACCTGTGACTCTTGGATCTCTCTCATTTATGTAATTTGTTTTTCTACTGAACAGCTTCTGCACAGTAAAGTGTTCACAGAAGTTTCAGTACAAACTATAGAAGGAATATTTAGTCATTGGCATTTCTAGCTAATCCTCTCTGTCTGCTCATCTTGGCACTTACTCTTTTGATTTGGTGGCTACCAGAAGCCTAAGTGGCCTTCGTGAGCAGAAGGACTGGTTTAAGATGGTTTCCACTTCTGAAAATGGGCGTAGGAATATTAAGTCCTCATTGATGGAATAGATTTTTCTTCCTGCCTGCAGGCCAGCCATCTGCAAATGAAACCAACATCACAGAAAACTTTGGATCACTGGCAGCATCAAATTTGTCAGTCACCCTTCAAGTTGTCTCCATTTACAGAAAACAAAGTGATTTCACCAGTTCTGTATAAATACACCACTCCACAGGTGTATCTTCCTTTGCAATGGATATATCTTTGTACTTTTCTGCTACAATTTTTTAAATAGGGACTATTAAAATTTAAAAAGGAGACTATATTAAAAACAATGGATCTATAATAGACTGTCTGTAATATCCAGTGAGATACAGAAATGTGACTTCCCACAACTTACAGCTCAGGCACAGGGAGCCAAACCCACAGCTTCCAACCACTGCCTAGATAAAACCACTCTATACCTGGTCACATAAGCAAATGTAACCTGTTTTTAAGAGGCAGTAAAAACCTGTCTCTGCTTTAAGTGAAGTACTGGCTCTTCATCAGCCTAAAAGGCCACAAGGTATTAATTTAAATTAGCTTTTGCATTTAACTTTAGTTATTTGGCCATGGTCACACCTGAAGTCAGAGACAGATCTGATGGAGATCCTATATTGATAATTAAACAGGCTAATGAAGATCAGACAGGATGTGTCTTTAAGAGTACAGACCCTACAGTGTCACGAGCTTCTGAGTAAGTGATGCTGCTGACGACAACTCAATGCATTTGTCTGGATCCAAGCCATAGTTTTCCCCAAGCCAGCAGCTATTTGCTGTTCATCTGCATGGCCACTGGCCAACTGGCTGGTGTTGAACACCCTCTGTTCAGACACTTGACATCTGCTTGTCAGTTGGCTGTTCAGAATGAGGCAGCAACCACATCTCCCAAAAGGATAATTTTTTTTCACTGTTGCTTCCCTGTGATAAAGTATCATTCATAAACAAGCTCCAGGATTAAAACCTGTGGGAATAGCCCAGCTACAATTAACCTGCAAGTGAGGTGGGTTAGAAAAGAAGATAATGTCTCCTCAGATTGTACCTTGACTTTCTGACTGTCTTTCTGAAGACACATGAACGTGGAAGAGGCATGAGATGTGCCACCGTCCACACCAACCAACCACTGCTATATGATTTTTTGTTCCAGTCTATCTAGGTGAGCTGAGCAAGTATAAATAGTCACAGGCAGCTGACTGGTTCCAATCCCAAACTAAAACTGATTGTGTTAATTTGAATAAATCCATGCAAGTAATAGATTTATTCCCACTTAATTGCTGAACTTGGAATCTTATTCTGGCCTGTAGTCTGCCAGTCCTAATGTAAGCCATGCACTATGATGGGCACTGTGAAGCAAAGCTTCACCTCTTAATTTTTGTCCCTAAAGAGTGTGACAGCAGGCACAAGGTATCTAAATAGCCTACAGCTGTGAGCCACACAGAGCTATGTGCTGGGTATCTTTCTAGCAATTTAAAAAGTCCAAGAATGTAATGAAATTACTGGTGGACCTCAGGTCTTTCCACACTGAGCTGACAGCCCTCTAGTTCAGAGATGCAGATTTAGTTCCTTTCTGGAACAATATTTTAAGATCAAGTTAAAAAGACAGGCTCACAGTCACAGATAGTTTGCCTTGGAAGATCAATAAAAAGATTCCTTAGAAAATTGTGTGCTTCTGTTGTTTTAGAACACAACAGATTTGCAGGATATTCCACAGGCATCCAGCCAAAGAAAGTGCAGAAGGATTATCTGTCAGGCAATGTTTTAGATTAATAACATTTTTGGCCAACCTATGTTGATTTTGAGCATGAGGTAAAGCACAGGATTTGTTTCTTTGGTGACCATAAAACAAACAAGAATCAAGAATACTGAAATAATTTATTTCTAATATTAAACTTCAGTTCAAAATAGTTTCCCATTTGACATCCTCAACTTGCTAAAATCAGTCTACCCACTTCAGTTGTTTGCATTGGGCAAGTCATCCAGGAGTCATCTGTACCCTAAAGCACTGCCCAACAAATTAATATGGACAGTAAAAAATTCTATAATGGTTGTCCTGGACTTTTAATGAGAAGTAATGTCTCTGTGCTGCCACATTTTACTGTGAAACCCCAGACAAGTAATTTAGTCTTCTCTTCATAGACTCCAAAAGGCAACTAAAGAGTTTTTAAAAATAAGACTTCCAGTCTGTCTGTGCCTTATTTCAGTAAATGGGATCACATTGTGTATCCACTCAAGGGTTTTGTATGGGTGAACAAATGATCATTAAATACTCACATCCTGTGTTATTTGGGCCATCTATGTGCCTCAAAGAAACAAGGCAAATATATTCCCTATAGCTCTTAAATATGAGGGCTCAGAAGAGAAATGAGTGCATGTTTTTTAAGGAAAAATACAAATCTAGAAATACAGCATTCACTCAAATAAACCCATTTCTCACTGAACATCTTTGCTATCCCAAAACAATGTTACTTTTCCTCCTCAACGTTAAGTCACTAATGAGCCTGAGGTGCACTATCATCACACAGAGATACTGCAGTTGTCCTATCACTTATCAAAAATCTTCAGCAAGTCACCCAAAGATGCCAAAACACTAAGCAATTTGCAGGAGCAGTTTATTACCACAGGACTTGTAGAAGACACCCAATTTTCTATCAGCTGCCTTTCAAATGAAACAGAAATTGAATGGATGGGTTTGTACCTTTTCAAAGCACTGAAATATTCTTAGGCACCAAACCCCAAGTATTTATGGAAGGCAGGTCTTACCTCTGCAGAAGAGCCTCGTCGAACTGACTTCACCATGATTGCTTTGTTCTTTTCTTCTATATCAAATCCATAGTCATCCTCTTCTGGTAAAATCTTAAAAAGAGCACAAGGGAATGCTTCATAAATATGGAATTAGCTGAAAAGCTGAAGGATGGAGATGAGAAATCGGACTTTTCATTGCAAGCCATGATTGACAGGGACTTGTAGATCTTAAGGCTGAAAGGGACTATTAGGCCATTTGGTCTGGTCTCCTATCTAACATAAGCCATAAAATTAATCTAGTTATTCCTGCATTGAGCTCTTACTGTACTAAAGCAGACTTCCCAGAAAGCTATCCAGTTACCATCTGCAGTCTGTAAGAAGTGAAAAATCTGTTTCTGTCCTTGACAGTTTGTTCCAATGGCTAATCAACTCTTCTATTAGAAGCTGCATTTGGTTTTAACTTCTAGGCCCTCACTCTTCATTAGACATTTCACTTTTAGATTATAGATTTCATCACTATTCAGTATTTTCCAGTGGTGAATGTCACGTGCTCACTTTGCGCAAGACTTCGTAGTTATTGCTCCTGAGAATCTGCTTCCTCTTATTTGCACTGAGGTCATACAGACTCTGCTTATGAATATTTTTTAAAATTCTATTAGTCATGGCAAATTTATTTTTTACTCATCCTGTTGTAGTGGTTTATTAACAATGAAATAAAGGCTTAAAAACTCGATTTCCTTTTTTAAAAATTAAAGCAAGCCTGGCCACTGGTAATGGACAAGTGGAAATTCTCCCAGATAAACATCTTGCACTTGAACAAACACTACATGTTTAGGTACCATCTGACAAGTTGCAATTGAGTTAAAAAGAAAAATAAATCTATTGTCTGGCATGCCACTGGGGAAAAAATTTTTACTGAGAATTACTTCCTTGATTCTGATGATTCCTGCAGTATTTAAAATATTGTCCTTCCTACTGAAATCAGTGCCATCAGCTTATAAGCTTTGTCATTTGCAGGAATTCACCTTAGGAAAAAAATATAGAAATAGACTCATTCTTTCTTTGTTATAAAGTAGAATTACCTTGCAATTCCACAGCTTAACACCACTCATCCCTAAGGATTCCAAAGCAATTAACTAACTTGTCATCTACAAGAATTATTTCTGTGCCCCTGAAATCCAATCAGTTTTTTGAATGTAAGGCAGGAGGTCTTTATTCTTGAAAGACAACCAGGTTACAAAGTGAGACCATATAAGAAATAAACATGTTTAATCAAAACATAATCAGAACATATGCTATGCAAAGAACAGGCTATTCCACACATAACGTGCAGAAGCAAGAACTCTCAGCCCAGACTCCTGGGGACATCAGCAGAAGAAGAGGCAGCACAGGCAGATCAACCACCATTTCCTCAACTAGGGTCCAGGATGCACATCCTCCTCCCACAGCCTTCCCTGCAGCTCTCCAGTTGGACACACTTGAACAGTCTGATCTGATTAAGAATTTCATAAGGAGCAGTAACTTATTAGATGATGTCAAGTCTGAATGCTTCACAAAACTGATGAGGTTCTGTGGCCCTCAGCAGCATTCGTTTTTGACATCTGTTTTTCTGCCATCTCACCTCCCAGGTTGTTCAGTCTCCCCAGCCTTCCAAAATTCCACAGCTCTGGGGCACTAAACAAAATTTGAAGAAATAACATTTCTTTCCAATGAGAAGCCCGACTTCTATTACCTTTAAAGGTGTGTTTCACTGCAATAGCAAAATAGGCTCAATATATACAAAATTACTCTGTTTCAGTTTCTTCTGGTTTGTGAGTTTCAAAATTAAGCACTGAAATGGAACTGTTCATTCTGGGCAGTGAAAGATTTACAGCCTAAAGGATGTTTTTCACTTGAGAGTTCACTGTAATTTTTAGTAGCCAAATCCACTCAAAGCCTGCATCTGTCCACCTACACCTGGATGATGGATGCTTCCTGACTTGCCAGCCTATCTCCTTGGGAGATCAGAAATCCCTAGGGATGGGCTCTTGTTAGTGACTCTCTTCCCAGGGGTGTTTTTAATCAATGCTTTGAATTCTCAAGCTACAATAGACTGTGATATACCAATGTAATGCAGAACAAAGGGAAATCTCGTTTTTGCTCTCTGCTGAAATTTTGCAGAAGTAGGTCCTTTTATATTAGCACAACACACAACAAAAATTATTCTTGAATGATAAAATATAGAACAGATTTTTATTAAGGACCAAATATGGCTTTCACTAATGCAAATTATTGTTATTCATCATTAGAATAGGAGAAATGTGATCTATAAGAATTTTAAAGTGAATGCTATATTTATTGGATTAGCTGGAAATGGAATATGGAAAATACATGAACTCAAATGATAATACTAGTTCTTATCTAAAAACTTGGTATCTAAAGTGCTGAATTAGAAAGATATTTTTTGTTTTCAAAGCTGATTCCAAATGTCTGTGGGTGGAAGAGATTTAACATCCTAATTTTCCAAATATAAACTGAGGACTGGAGTGACTTAAGGTCTTGCTCAGGCCACACATTGAGTTTATGTGAAATGTTAAATTAACATCCAGGTATCCATGACTTCTGTACTCAAACCATCAGCTTTCATCTAATATGCTCCAGTACTCAGCCCCCTGCATGAGCTGAATGCCACAGTCCTGCTGTGAACTGCAGTGGGACACAGCAACTGCTCTCTGCTGCAACTGCTGCAACACATTATTGAGAGTATGAAATATGGGAAACCCTAGAGGGACATAGGGGACATCACAGGTCTGGAAAGTTGATGAGGTTTAGACTTGCAGTCCAGATCTACAACCTAGCTGAGAATGCTACATAAACCATACACAGGCATCACCTTTAGAAATCACTGGAAATGCTTTTCTTTTGAGATCAGCTAAAGGATCCACGAGAGCCTCCCATGGACTCTGTCCTTGTCTGATGCTCAGTTCCAAGCTACCAGCTCCAATTAGTGTTGGATTTGGCTTGGGCTGACAAGTGGAGGTGCTGGTCACAAGTTAACTGCACACTGCAGTACCAAGTCACAATGCTTGGAGTCAATCCAAAATCCAAATTCTCTTCAGCCATGCAAAGAATGTTGTATATTTTTCCAGTTTGTCAAGATTTATGTCCTTCAATGAGAGATAATTGCGCAAATAAATTAGTATTAATTGTTGTTTGAAGTGGATTTTTCAGACTGAAAGCACTTCTCTCCTTGGCATTTATAATTATTTATTTGCCAAAGCTTCTGTTGTTTCCTGTTTTCAAGGGCAAGCTTTTCTGTGACAGAGCAAACTTATAGGAAGGGGGTGAGGGAATCTGTCCATTAAACAGCTAGGACTTGATGGCAGTAGAAAAGCATGTTTCAAAAGCCAGTACTGAGGAAATTCCATTAAACTTCCTACAGTGGGATCAGGGAATGGGAAAGACCAATGCCCTGTCATGAGTGTAAAGAGGCAAGTCGTGATGTTCCACAGACAGCAAAGCCTCAGGATTCCAGCTGCTCTAATTGCTAAATACAGAATAACACAGAGGTCAGGCACTTTTTGTGTGTGGCTAAGTGTAATGCATTTACTGTGCTGCTATTTGTGGGATCTTCTTTACAAATATTTAGGGGACTGCTAGTTTATTTGTGAAAAAGAGGGCAAGTCATAGCTTTAGCATGACTACTACTCATTTGACAAAAATCTGTGCCCTCTAATAGGAGATTTCTTATTCAGCATGTGCTGTTCATTTCAGACTCTTCACTTTGGAGACTGTATTTGTGACAGAGGCTGGCTGAGACACTTCAGAACTAAAAGAATAGTAATATTAAAATTATTCCTGATGCAAATATTTCAGTTACCAAATTATGGAGTGACTAGAAGGACAAATTAGGGATTCCAGTTAATCACTAGTAAATAGTCCATGTGCAAGGTTTGATTGCTTGTTCTGTCTCTTTAGTGAATAACTAATTAATTATTATTAACAGAAAACAGAATCAAAGAACTTTCAAGATCTCTGATTTCACAGCTAAAATATTACTACTGTGAGTTTTAGCATTTTAGAGAAGTACCTTGAACTGACAGAAAAAAGCAGAAGAGCCATTCTGGTCATTCTGTTTCCTCCAACACTGTTGTCTTGATAAGGTGGAAAATTAAAATACCTAAACAATGGTAGTTCCCACAACTTACATGAAACTGATCTCTAAGTGCTTTGCAAATCAGTCAGAAAACCCCCACAAAGCCCATCACCTTTTAGCTGCTTCCCTTTATCCAACAGCTCTCCATGAGGATAATCATATTAACCTGACACTCCAGTCTCTGGCACTGGTTGCATAGAGGAATAATTCTGAGGGACCATGGTGCTTTCAATATTACTTCTGGCCATTCAGACAAACACAGATTGGTCTCCTGGGAGACAAGACAACAGTGAGACAATGAAGTTTGTGTGAATGGCAGGAAAAATTTTCCCATATAAAGGACCTCTGGACCTTTTCCAGCAATTCTTCTTTTGTAGTTTCTGACCCAAGTTTTTATCCTCCTCCTGCATTCTGTCAGTGGTCAAAGGGAGAAGAAGATGGACCTGGAGCCACTGGCAGTAAACCAGGATCTCAGAACAGTTTGCACCAATCTGACCCCTGTGTCCAAACAGCATCAGAATCACCCCAGTGCAGTCAGGACTGTGATGGCATTTAGTGAGGTGGGAATCTGGACAGAACAGTAATGTTGCAAAAGCATGGAGATAAAGAACAGTAAAGTGATTTCAATAAACAAAGTAAAGCTTGTACTTGATCCAATAACGCAGGGAATATTCATGTAATTTAGACAATGATGTCCTGAGGGATCTGTGCTCTTACCAGTCTTCTGACTTGCACCTGAATTGACCTCACATATAAGGGATTTTTAACTGTATTTCAACTTAAACTGTGTTTACACTTGACGGCAGACCTCTCCCAAGATAGCAGTGCTCATGACTTTCTCCTTTACTACCCCTCAGGCATGCAAGACAACATCTCCAGCTCCCAGGTCACTTCCAGACTCTCTCAAGGGATTCATGGGAACAGGAAGGGGTTGGGCTGTGAGCTGGATGAAAAAGTCATATCTCTGTGTCTCCTCTTTTCTTGAGACCTATCAGAAATAGGCAGGCGCTTACTTACATTTGCACATCTGTGTGTGTGTGAGCTGAGAATCCAAAGCTCCCAGGCAGTGCATGATGGTTCCATGTTAGAGAAGGGACCCTGCAACTTAGAGCCTTCCTCTACTACTGGAATAAGCAACGTGATATGCCCAGATAGAAGAGTCTGAGCTACAGAAGTTGGAGATCTACAGCAAAGTAGCTCAAGAATTAGTATTCATGCAGTGAAGAACAGTCTAGCTACAGGTGCGTTTCCCCAGTTCAATTCTGCTCTATTATAATCTTCCTTTTCATCCTCCTCTACTATAAAACAATACCAGTTTCACAGAAACATCAAGGTTTTCATTAACATTTTTCTTACCAGAAGACTCTTTCCCAGGATGTTTTCCACAAGCTTGAAGTCATTACGTAATTGTTTGCTCTTGGAACTGGTGCCTTCCATCTCCTCATCAGCATAAAAGCGGAAATATAAGGATTCATCCTTAAATTCACTTTTCTCCAGCACTGGAATCAATATATATAAAATACATACGTGCATGCACACGCAGAAAAAAAAGAGACACAAAAAAGAAAGTTAAAGGAAATCCCAAACTCTTCTCCATCTTCACAGAACAAAGACCAGATGCATCCCTTCCAGTCAGCTATTGAGCCTTATCTTTTTAAGCTGCTAATGTATTTGAAGGGTGTACTTTTCTTCACAGTGCATAGTAGCTCATGGTATGATGCTTGACCTCCCTGGCATGTAGAATGGATATAAAATGCACAAGATCCTCTTGGAAGAAAGATGTTACTAAGTACCTTATTCTCTTTTCTCATGTCAACATTAACATGGTAAAACTCTAACAGGAGCATCACTGAGGATGAAGTGGCAGTTTGGCACTTCAGATTTGGAAGCCTCAGAGATCCAGCACTGAGGATTGTGCTTGTTGTCCAAGGGGCAAGAACTAGACAACTCTACTTTGTACCTGACATTTCTTGGTGATATTTCAGGACAGTATTTGGCTTGTGCATTGGTCTGATAGCTCTGAAAGAGATGCAGTGAAAAAACATTCCTGTTCTAACTTGTCTCATCATAACTGTTAGCAAGGGGATTCACCTGGGAGGGTACCAGGCTTAGACATTTGATGTGGGTTTTTTAGAAGGACCTGCTGGGATGCCTGCAATTGTATACATGTCAGCATGTATGGCACAGCCTACAGAAAAGGGATTTTCAGAGTCAGCTAATTTGACTGAAGTAAGAGCTCCTTTAATTGGCTGTGGGAAGCAATATTGATGCATTACCATGATGCATGAAGCCGTTATTGCAGAGTCCAACACCCAGCGCGACAGCTTCCTCCCGAGTCTGACAGTCTCCCTGGAAACAAGAGGATAAATATCACATCTCACATCACTTTCTTAAGCTTAATTATTTCCCCTCCCCACTGCATGGCTTGTGGCTCTGAAATGAGCAGGATGCTCTTTGTAAGGAACAACAGCAAGAAATTAAAATAACTATCCCATTGCCCAAATCCCATTAATTCCTATATATAGTGTCTCTTGCCTCCTGCAGGAACTAGGAGGACAAAGACCAGGATTCTGGAAAGTAGCTGTTTGACCCAAAAAGGGACATGGTTTTACCTCAATGTAAAGACTTTTTGATTGCAAACACAGTGTTGGACTTCAGGACCCATTAGGCACAGACAATAAAACTCATTCATAGAGACTGAAGTTGAGAGATCTTATCTCTATTCAACCAAAAGCAGAAAAACCTGAGTAAACCCAGTGTATGTGAGCTCCACAGGCCAGACTAGTTCAAGCTGCAGTGGCTTTTTTTCTTACACAGCAAAGTTGCAAACAAAGCCTTCAGTTTCTCATTAGGTGAAGCCTTGAGTGCAGTATTTCGAAACAGGTGCCAAACGTGACTTCCACATTTACAAACTTACTTGAAACAGGATTATGCTTTACATCTGGAACTCAGTTAAACACAAATAACACCTCATTTTCTCTACCTATCTGCTAATTTGCATCCACAAGTGAAGACTTTGCAAACCTTCTGGATGTACTTCTTAGACAGAGAAGCAAGTCCTAAATAGTGCTGGTAAAAATCAGCAGGCACTACTGGTCTTCCCAGATGAAAAACATTGTTAACACTGGTCACTTGATGGAAGGTGACCTGCTTCCCAGTCCCCAGATGGGCTCGGGAGAACCTGGGATCTGCTGTCTCCCTGAGAGCAGCTGGTTAGCTCATTCCAGCTCAGAGGGGACCTGCTGCCTTGGTAGAGGAGCAATTTCAGCCTATTACTTTCAGTCCTACTAAATTTGAAGCTGTATCCTACACTAGTATTACAGCTTTTTTCCCCCTCCATCTCAAAAACTAGATATCCTGAAGCTCTAGCACCAACTGCTGAGTAAAATACTGTTTTTTAACCAAACCACCATGCAGACCAAGAGGTTTCTGATCTTGTCAGCAGATTATGTAATCACTCAAGGAAAGCCAAGAAAAGGACTTTTATAAACCTGAATTTTAACTTTTACTCTAAATAATTTCAAGTCTTCTTAAGTCTTTGCTCGTTTTCAACCTCCTCTCGTGACAAGTCTCAACACTCACTTTGTATTACTTTATGGGATAAACTGGTAGTTTATTTTACAGAGGCTGAGACTTAAAAATCTAATTTACTCTTTCAACTGTAAATAAACTGGAGGAGAAATGCCTTCTAATGTTACTCTCAACCTTTAGTAATCTACTTTTGTTTTAGCAACAAAATCTTTGTGTAGGAAGGCTCTAAGCCAGACTTGGCTAACCCTGATGGCCTCAAAATATTCCCCCAGCAAAACAGCATTCTCTAATTAAAAAATCTAACTTAAAATAAATCTTTGCAGCTCACTTGTAAGTACTTCTAAATGCTATGTAGCAATTTGTCCAAATACAATGAAAGCAGAAGTAAAAATCTTAAGAGAAAAGAACCACTTAGAATCACCAATCTTGATTCAATGTGCCTCAACTTTTTCAGGCAGAAATTCAATGCAAAACTAGATTCACAAGTTAATTTAGGTTTATTTAAATAGAACCATGGAATGTGAGTCAGCAGAATTATAGAAACAGCTTACACTCAGTACCATAGTGAAAAATCATGTCCAGAGCACATTATTATTATTATTAATTTTTAAATTTTTATTTCTGCTGCTACCATTACTATTACTGTTGTCTAGTTCTGGTAATGCTACCATGTTTAAAGCCCTAATCATAGTCTGTGGCTGACTGTTTGGAGCTGCACAAGCCTGGCAATTAAGATAGTTTCTGACCTAGATTGTTTATAACCCACACATAGGAGAAAAGAAAGTAGATGAACACAGATAATTTAACAAGAGCAATAAAACCACTTTTACATATTTTGCTGATATCATGGAAGAATTTTAAGATTATGAAGTGCTCCTTTCAAGTGGGAAGGAAGCCTAAGGTAATGCAATGCACAGGGGTGCAATATATGCTGCCATACATGGAAAGAAAGGAAGGAAAAGAAATAGAAATAGGAGAAAATGACAAGGGAAAAAAAGAGATAAGAGATCCACTGGAGCAAAAGACCTAAAGAATCTTACTAGCAGGTTTCTACTTTGCATTAGTCCCTTTTGTTATATTCTACCTTTCATAAAATTGCCATTTAAAGTTTCTTAGACTTAGTCCCAGGCTCTGAGTGTACACAATACATATGGGATAGTAACATATATCACAAACTGTTCAAATGTACACGAGATTAAACCTCATTGAGGACCAAATTTATCTCTTGTCAGAATAGCAAACAATTTCCAGGTAGGAGGAGTACAAAATAAAGTCAACACTGTTTCTTTGATTATAAAAGGAAAGTTTTTACTCTTTTGCTCTGTTCAGTCTTATGAATATTTGTTAAGGTTGAGGAATTTAAAAAACAAAACAAAAAAATCCACAACTACCACTGGCATTTATAGTCAAAACTGCAAACAGAAATGAGAAAGATTATCCTTCAAGACAGTCATCCTTATGCCACTAATCCTAACAGAAACAAGTCTTCCCTTTTTTGATGCACCATTTTAAAACAAAAATCATAATTCAAATTGATTATCAGAAACATAAATAAACATATCCCAGCATTTTTGTGTAACAGGTAGTTATCAGATAAGACACCATCACCAAGGTTTTCAAAAACAGATGCCTAAAGCTAAACTGAAAGGTAGATATTTGAGCAGTTAAATAAATGCACTGCTCTGCAAAAAGCTGAGTATTCATTAGCTCCCACTGAAAGCTGTTGTTAGCTAACATGGCAAAAGC